TTTCTCCCTGACATTTGTTTATGCAAGACATGCTAGCACTTAATTCATATTATCAAATTGTTAGAAGAGAAATAACCTCACACAGTCATCTTCATTATTTAAGGAGTACAAAAACCTAATGACCAAATGACCTGCATTTATGAAATGGTTCTCACTGATAAATAATATCCTAGACCGATCTTTCATAGCCCCTTGTATCAGTACAGATAGAAGAATTTTTAACAGTGGACAGTTCACTCATTCAGTTAAAAATATTTAAGTTCTATAAGTCCTTAACATATTTCAATACACTAATGCTTGATACTGACTGTTGGTTTCAAAAATACTTTTCATAGAAGCATAGAATTGGAAGAAGCCATAAAGGCTATTGAATTCAACCTCCTGCTCACAAAATAAATGTAAATGTTCATGACAGGTGACTATCCACCTTGTGCTTTGACATCGCCAGCAAAGAAGAAACCACGATCAGTATGGACATGACAGGTGACTATCCACCTTGTGCTTTGACATCGCCAGCAAAGAAGAAACCACGATCAGTATGGACATGACAGGTGACTATCCACCTTGTGCTTTGACATCGCCAGCAAAGAAGAAACCACGATCAGTATGGACAATTGGCTCCACTTACTCTTTGACTAGAATCTGTCTTTCTGTTGTCCCTAATTTTTCCACCTGCACTTTGGGATGACAGAGAACAGGACATGGCTTTCTTCTTGTTTCATCTTTTAATGTACTTGAAGAGGACTATCATACCCCCCCCCCATCAGTCTTCCCTTCTCAAAGCATAACATATTTAGTTCCACCAAACTGCTTCTAGTCTCCAAGCCCCAACTCACCCCCCTCAACCTCATTTTCTTGAATTTGCCCTATTCTCTGAATCTTCTTAAAACATGGTATTCAAATCTGGTTGCAGTGCTTGAGAGAGGTTCTGACCAATGCAGAGTAATGAATACACATAAAGTTAAGTAGGGGATCTATTTTAAAACTATATATTCTGTCTACTGAATTTAACATCCATCAGTGGAACAAACTTCTCTGCCTATGTGGCTCCCAAATCCACTCCAGAATGTTGCAAAACTTTTTATCATGCACGTGGGCGCAGGGAGAAGAACAGTGTAATCAGAAGTCTGTATCTGTAAGGTCAGCTGTTCACACAGAATGATCGTCTCTAACAGATGTGGTAGCTGAGTATGTGTATATGAGTCTGTGCATATCACTTTTTTTTCTTTGTTCCAAAGAACTGTAGTTTGAGTTTTGAGAAAATGTGATTTCCCACAGAAGATCTGGGGAATTATATCTGATTCTCCCTCATCAACTAAGTGCTGTGCTGCCTTCTGCTTGTCCAATAAAAGTCTCCTCTGGAAGGACCTTGAAAGTTTAATTTACTAAAGTTTAGCATCTCACTCCTTATAATCTTGACTGCAAACAGCTGGTCACAAAAGGTTTTGCTTTAGGCATGATAGTCATTTTGTTTGGTGAGAAAAACCTACTGGAAATTTGGCTTTGAAATGACTACAAGCAACCCAGAACACTTTTTCCCATGATCAAGTTTGAACCATGAATTATTGGATACACATAAAACAGGACCTGTCCTGTTACATACTGTGATTTCTCCAAGCAACTTGCATTTTATGTCATTTGTTGTAGAAAGGATAGCCTAATGCCATCCAAAACTGTATAGTTCAGTTTTGTAAAAATAGTGTTCTTGCCAAAAAGCTTTCCGTCCAGGTGTTTAACCAATTAGTTCTTAAGAAACTAGACCATGGCAAGTTTTCTGATGGATAGTAAATAAAGTGATTGTTTTGTAAACTCTTAAGATGAAATTTTGTTTTCTTAGCTAGGTGTGTGTAAAATCCTGAGAGATGCTTTGACTGAATTGGCTAGAATGCTTATGTTATCTCATATTCCCCACTGATGTCATGTAGATGGAGCAATGCATTTTTTAAAATGTTACAAAAATTGTTCAAGCACAGAGAGTTCTTGAAAGTTTTTTTTTTTTAGTTTTTGAAATACTTGATACAGATGGACTGTTCAGAAAAGTTTCCAACTCTGGGTGTCTCTTTACTTTCCTGAAGTCACAAAATGCCTTCAGAAGTAGGAGGGCCAGTTGACCTGCACATTTTACTGGTTTTAGTCAGGTTGTGGAAGTGTTCCTATAAAAGCAGAGGGCACTGATGTTTAGTATTACAATAGCCAGGTGTCATGTCAAAATACCTACTCAAATGTGCCTAAATTATAAATTAGCCTCAGCTGTCAGCAGAAGTCTGTCTCTGGATGTTCTCCAGTGCTAGGGACAAGCAACAGACAATAACTTTGACTTTTATATCGTGCTTGTAAGTCTTCTAAAGCAACTGTCTAGCTGCTTTTGGAAACAGTTTGTTGGAGTAATTGTCTGTTGGTCTAATCCAGCAAGGAAAGATGAATCCTTGGGAGCAAAAAGTGGTAAGTGCAATAAATATAATGCAAATATAGATCCATAATACGTCTTATAGTACATATAGTACAAAGTACATCTGAATAAGAGGGAGAGTCTATGTTATAAACCAGTCCCAAACTTTCCATTTCTGGGAAGGGAGATTGAGATGTGTCTCAATACTATCTAAATTCATTTCAGTGAGGATTTTAGCTGAGAAATGGTACTGAGACTGTTTTAGCTACCTTGGATGACCTATGCAGGAAATTAGATGGGGAGTGTGGGGCCCTGCTAGTTGTGAGAACCTCTTGGCAGCTTTTGATATCACAGATTGATGTATCATCTGAGGGACAGCCTGCTTGGGATCTGAAAGAGGATCCTCAGCTGTCATTTTATTCACAGGTGGTGGCCGTGACAAGGAGCACATGTGCACAGTTATGACTCCTTAGTTACTCTTTCTCAATCAGATTTGATGACAGGTATCCATGTCTTTCTCACTCCCATCTCATCTTGACTCTTACAACATGGTCTACGTGAAAATATCTTTGAAAGTATTTAGAGGTTGTAATTGGGGAAAATGCAACAGCTCAACAGCTAATTGTTGTACAGATAACACTGCATTGTATCGGAAAATCTGTACTGGTTGCCATTTGCTGTCCAGGAATCATTTAAGATATTGGTGCAAACCTTAAAAACTTTAGCTTAGTATCTGAGTGCCTTTTTCTTCTACTGTAAGTCACTTCAGGTTTTAAGATTTCTGGAAAAAAAAAACAACTCCTGAAAATGCCCCCACTCTTAGAGCTGTGAGGGAGATGACTTTTCCTGCACTACATTTGGCGCTCACTTTCTCAGCTTTAGAAAAGCAGCCAAGGTAATCCCATTCATTAGATTTTAAAAGGCATGGATTTTATTATGTATTATTATTATTATTACTATTATTATTACTACTACTACTACTAGTAGTAGTAATCTACAATTAAATTCACATTATTATTGTTGGTCACACAGTCAGCCTGTTGTTTAGACTGGATCTGGTATTTTTATCTACCTCTCGAGTCTTTCCCAAGGACCTGGGATAGGCAGATGTTGTTGTTTGATGGTGTTACAGGTATCGTCGCAGGATGTAAGCTGTTCCAAGTAAAGCTCTCTTTTGCAATTGACTGATGGTGATTTTGTCAATGCCAATGGTGTTCAAGTGGTGCTCCAGATGTTTTGGGATTGCACCTAAGGTGCTATCTTTGCTTTCTTTTGCCACAGTCATCCTACCTCTATTTGCAGGTCTTTATATTTTGTGATTTTCTCCAGTTCTTTTTCTTCTCTTCTGCTGTCTCCAGGTATTACAATGTCCACTACACAGACTTTTTTGTCCTTCTTATCAACAATTGTTAAGTCTGGGATGTTGTGTGGCAGATGCTTGTCTGTTTGAATTCTGAAGTCCCAGAGCACTTTAGCTTCTTCTTTTTCTATTACTTTATCTGTTTTGTGGTCCCGCCAGTTCTTGCTTGCAGGCAAATGGTATTTCTTGGAAGACATTCCAATGCACCATTGTTGCTACTTTGTTATGCCGTTGTTTGTAGTCAATCTGTGCAATCTTCTTGCAGCCACAGTCATTCTATTTCTATTTGCAGGTCTTTATATTCTGTGGTTTTCTCCAGTGCTTTCTCTTCTATTCTGCTGTCTCCAGGTATTGCAGTGTCCACTATCTAGATTTTTTGGTCTTTCTTATCAACATCAAATAATTCATTGTCATTATTTTTCTGGTCTTCCTATCCAGGGCTTCTAGTTCTGCTTGAGTAGAGTCCGCTATTCCAGCTGTGTATCTAATGATTGGAATTGCCCAAGTGGGAATTGCCTTGATGGTATTTCCTCCACTGAGTTTAGACTTTAACTTCTTCTTCACTCTCATGATGTATTCACTACTAACCTTCTTCTTGACTTCAGTGTCCTTGATGTTGTCAGCTTGAAGGATGACCAGGTATTTGTAGTGATCTTCTTCATCCAGACTTGATGTTATTTTCATAGGTCATCTTGATTCCTTCAGTTTTCACTATTTTTCCCCTGTTGATGGTAAGGGTGACACATTTGTCCAGTCTAAATGGGACAAACTGGCCATGTAATGCTTTGCCTTGCCACATCTCTTTTCTATTCTTCATTTGGTCTTTCTTGTAGGCCAGTTTGGTCTCTTTGGTATTCAGTAAGCCTTCATGGTGTACTAGCTTCAATGCATTATTATTATTGTTATTGTTATTTTTAAAAATACAGAATTAAATAGATATATACAACCAGGTAAATTAACTGCCCAGAGTCGCTTGGAGTCAGGGGGTATATTAATGATAATGATAATGATAATAATCTGTATTTTTTTGTGTGTCAACATAAGCTATAAATGTTTTGAGCGGGGGTTTTCCTAAACAGAAAGGTAGCCTATTTGATTAGAAATAATCAACAAACATCTATTACTTCCTATACTAGTCTTCAAAGAATTAAAATCAGATGCCCGAATTAACTTACCACTTTTCATTCCCCCCCCCCTCCCACTTTTTACTTCCTTTTATAATAATATTACTGGTATCTGATGTGTCTGCAGAAAGAACATGAACCAGAAAAGTTTCATGGTGAACATCCTGGAAGCATAAGTCAAGATGCAGGTGTTCCGGTTTTTCAGAAGACAAAAATGGTTATAGCAGAAAAATGGAAAAGTGGCAACAATGAAGCAGAAATGCCATATGCTACCAAGGAAGATGAAGTTGCAGTTATTCTTGAAAATCAAGAAATCTTACCAGAAGGTAATATGTACTGTTCTGCTCTTTTTGACAGTCTGAGGATATTATAAATGTATAATAGCGGCAGTGAATAAGACTTCTAACAAAAGACAGAAAATGAATGACACATGTTTTACTTGATGGAATATTTGCTGATTAGGGATGCGGAGAAATAAAATCATAAATGATAAATGTTTTAACACCTGAGGTTAATATATGAGTATGCCTAACCAGGTTTATAATGCACAAGGCCCTGGTAAAAAGTGAAAGGGACTTGCAATTAGAAATTAACAGCAAGGATCCTTGCAAATATTGAAAATAAGAACCAAGAAAGAACTCTAGGGGATCTCATTTTGACATGTATGGCTCCATTCATGCCTCCAAGGAGCCAGTTATTTCATTCATTACAACCTTGTACTGATAATGATAAAGGGCAGTTGTTTGTCTTTGCCATAAGAGACATAAACAGAAAATAATTGTTATTGGGGTACAGTAATTTTATTCTGAATTTTGTTGTTTTTGCTATTGTTTATGCAATCTTGAATTGATTGATTAGTCCCCATGGCTTTCTCTGAATCTTGCCAGCATTGTAATATGAAAAGGTCATTCTTAGAAACATTGGGTTGGATCCAGATATTTATTCCACTGATGGGAACTTCTAGAATATTTACATTTCTTCAGCAATCTACACTGATTTCTTTTCATTTATGAAACTGAATCAGTGTTTGAGGTGACTTATGCAATTTCAGCAATGGATTACATTATTCCCTACTTAGACAGTAGAAAACATTTTTCAATGGATCAAACACTTTCAATGATTGGAAGAAGGGCTTTTATTCCAGGGAATATTTTTCTGGATCCAACCCATTATTTATGGGAAACATAGTGTACTCTGAGGACAGATAATTTATTTAGAATGATAAACCCCCACATAGAAATATAAACAAAAATATATTTGTTCCTAGAATCTATCAGCATATATCAGGCTACATAGTAGAACTATAATACATATTACACAATGCTAGTGCAGGTGGCCCTGATGGCATTAACAAATCTGGAAAGTTCCTTCCATCTTCATCCTGTCACAATCAGCACATTATTTTCTTTTTAAAATTATTTCTTCACTTTCCATTCCAAAGGATCTTGAAGGCTTTATGAACAGTATAAAGAAAAAAAATACAAGGCAGTTGATTTTCTAATCAAAACCTTCAACACTTTCTAAAGCAGGATAGTAAAACAGAGACAATATTGGAATAATTCTGGATTCAGAGCTTCGTGTTGAGTTTAGGAATAGAAAAAGCTGTGCCTGGCGTATCTGCCAATCAATCTAGGATTCTATAGTCTGGTTAAAACCCTCATTGCCACATATTCTGTCATTTGATATTTCTGAATAATGTTCAAAGGTGGCATAGAATGAAGGAAAAAAAAAAAACCATAAAGTTAACAAAAGCCCGTAAAGGTACAGTTGGCATAGTAGGCTATATAAATTGAATAAATAAATAAAACAAATAGTAGCTTATACTGAGAAAAAGAAAAAACATTTTTGGTCAGAATTGCAGATGGAGGTTCAGAAGTACTTCTACTCTGTGAACTTGGTTCTGTCCAATTCTGTCCAAAATAGACTCTACACACAGATTCTCCCATTAACCAGAAGTCATTTTTTTTTCTTGCCCGGATTAATTATCATATTTTCCATAATTGTTCCTTCAGTGATTCTAAGCACTAGTTCAGAATCTTAACAGCTTCTTTGAAACCTAATGAAAATAAACCTAGAGCTTGAAAAATAGAATTTATTCTTTTCTTTTGATTTGATTTTACAAACACCAAAGCATATGAGCCAGGGTGGGGGTGGGAAGCTCTCATACGAAAACAGCCGGAGAGCAATAGATAAAACGACAAATTAACGTAAAAGGAAAAGCAATCTATAAATCTTGCTAGAGGATTAAATGTCTGATATGACAATTGCAAAATGTAGACATAGCAAAATGTAGCAAATTAGCAAATAATACTCTGCCAAATCCACAGGAGAGTTTTTACTCTAACCTGCTATAATATCTCATCATATTCCCAGTTAGAAAGAAGGTTTAACCAAATTCTGGGTGCAGGAGTGACTTTGTCATCCTTTTGAGGAAACAGAAACAGTTTTTCTTGTGCTCTTACAATATTCCTTCAGCTTGGCCTGGCAAACCAAAGTAACACCTTTCTTACCCCACATCTATGCTATAGTTCAGAAGAGATTACAGTACAGTATTTGTTTCCATTAACTGATCAATCAACAGATATCTCCAAAATTTCTTTGTAATCACTCTAATCCTATTCTTCCAAGTAACCTCTCCTAAGATGAGATGTAGTTGTTGAATAAAATAAGAGAATGAAAAAATCCTGCCATGAGGCTAAACAATGCTTTGCTGAATAGTGCATGAATTCGTGCTTATTAAAATTTTAAAAGACAAACTTTCAAAATGTTATGATCAACAGAAGCAGAGCAGATATCACTTTGATGTTTACAACCCTAAAGTTTGCATGATCTGATTTCATATATTCTGTGTTTTATTTAGTTTCCAAGTTTGCAGGCAGAGAATTGATTTATCTTGATCTCCCTAAATCTCCACATAATTCATGTGGGTCATTCAATCAGACACAACTTGAACCACGGGAAAATGAAGAAGATGTTAAAAATTGGACAGAAGTAAGAAAATTGTATTTATCAGAAAAGCCACCTTCTGCTTTAAGAAATAACCCAATATATGCTGTGAATCATGAGGCTGAGAAGTCCTCCGTATCACATATATGTAGACTAACGCCAAGATCAACAAATGAAAACAGAATAGTAGATCAAGATCCTGTGGTTTTTCCTGACACAAAAATCAAAGATCTCCTGAAAGCAATGAATGAGAACCTTCTAGCTCCAAAGTGGCAGCATCAAGAAAGAAAAAGTTCTGCTTTTCTGGTTATGGAAACACCACAACTCTCACCTTTACCAAGATTGAAACAAGGTGCTACAAAGGATCCCGTTATAAAAAAGTTCTCATGGTTGGAACGATCACAGCAGGAGTCCACTGGCTCACCTTTTTTTGTTAGTGTTTCAAGACCACCAGTTTTCCCAGTGCCACAGGAACATACTTCTATGGTAAGAAGTTTGAGGCAATCTAAAGAAAAGTCCAATGACTTTTTTAAAAATGATAAAATTAAAAGGAATGTTCAACTCAAATACACACCTAAGGATGCAGACTTAAATCTTCCCACATTATCTCCACCATATCAGACAACATCAGGGAAAAAGTCTGAGATGTTAAGGTTAGATTTTGCATGAACAAAATTATTACAAAAAAAAATCATTGTTTGGAAAACAATGTACAAGCCATTAAAGAAACCAAGAACTTGTTGAGTAAATAAAAAGAGTACATCAGAAGTGACTGGAGAAAGGAGGTGTGGGGAATAAGTAGTTCACTGACTGTAGAATAGATGGATCTCAGGTAATGAGTGAATGAATGAAATGGTGAAAAAAGTAATATATTTAGGCTGCCAGTTTCTGTTTCTGTTTTTCTATTCACACACAGAATGTGCCAAATAACTGATGTTTGATTTTTTTATTTTAAAAAAATGTTCTATAATTTTTTGTACTTAAATGCAATTGATTTATGACTATTACTGCTATAAGAGTCCATATTCATAATGATATAGTGTATCCTAATGACTAAATATTGACCAATGCACTGTAACCTTGAGTCTGTGGCGGGTTTTCCTAAAGCTAGAATGCAATATGATTCAACTTCTTTGCCATTCATGCGACACATGAATCTATATATACAGTACCTCCATATACCAGTAAGGCTTCCAGCCTTAGACCAGGAGACCCGTGCGCAAAATCTCAGATAGAACCCCAGAGTTAACACTACCCAGTGAATTACATTTAAAGGCAATCCATTACCATCAGAGTCTCTTCAGTCAAGTTTAATGCATAATTAAAGATTAATACAGTTTAGTATAGTTTAATATAGGTTATAATTAAAGTCAGACTTCATGCAAAAGTTTTAGAAGACAATTTTGATTAATCAGGAATCCATACTGTCAAGTTCTCTCAATCTCAATTTCACATTGTGGAATATGATTAAGAGTAGCATTCCCCCAGAGGTGTAGAAAGGATTCCTTCAGGTTTCTTAAGGACCTTAGAAATACACAAGAATCTTCTCTATGAGGCTGCTGAAGTTTCAGCTCCTCCCATGCAACAGCATGGATGTTCTGAAGTTGGTTATAAAGCTGACATGATGAAAATGGGTTTATTATGTCACTGAGGGAAGGAGGAGAGAAGCTTGAAACTAGACACTTAGAAACTCTGCAGTGCAAGAATGCTCCCTAATCTTTGCATCCTGCAGGCCACTCTCTCCAGTTGAATTGCCTAGAACAGTGTTGTCCAAACTTGGCCACTTTAAGATGAGTGGACTTCAACTCCCAGAATTCCCCAGCCAGCCATGCTCCACTCATCTTAAAGTGGCCAAGTTTGGACAACACTGGCCTAGAAGGACATGTAAAGCAGGGCCTATAATGGTTGTGAAGATGGGACAGACAAAGATTTCAGGAAGTCTGGCAAACTTACTTTGCAGGTAATATGCATCACATTAAGCCACATCTTTCTGACAATTAGTTCTGGTCACTAAAGAGATTTTTATTGAAAAAACACAAGGAATTTGTCTTTCCCTTCAAAATCTAAAGAAAGCTCATTTGTCCTGGTGAAAAAAAAATATAAATGAAGTGTAAGTTTATTTACAATAGCTTTTAAAATCAATAAATGTTAATCTTTAAGGGGATCAAAGAAGATATCACTTTAAATACAAGTCTGCAAATGTTATTGTTGCTGAATAATTTTATTTAATAAAAATAAATCTTTCAGATACTGTTACCTTAAAAATACCACATTTGGAAAAACATCAGCCTCTCTGTCAAATATATTGTGAAATAAACAAGGTAAACATTTGAATTCTCAACCTCTTGGTCCCATCAAAAAGAGCCTGTGAGTGCACAGCTGCTCCATAGTGTTACATTGAACAGGGGTAAGCCGTGTGTGGAGATCTGAAAGTGCAGAGGATGTAAGGAATGGCCTTGAAGGACAGGAGGAAGAGCCATTAACAAAATATCAATCAGACAAGGCAGCTTGAGCCCATTCCAAAAAACTAGCTTCAGTAAATATCTCAGGCCTCTCTCTAATTCACATGAAGATAAAATGAGGGAGTGGGGAAGCACATTCAGAGTTGCAAGATTCTGTTACTAGAGCTATTCCAATAAAAGTAGTTCTAGACCTATATAGAATTGGTTTCCTAGTCTGGTCTACCTTATAGGGCTGACAAAAAGAGAGAAGCAACACTTACTAGCTATTCCTAGATTATACCACTTAAGGTGTGATATGCCAGGTCAAATGTTTAAATGTATGTTCATGTAAGATATTCATTTTATACGTCGGAACAGCAATATTCTCCGTATCCTTCTACTGGTTTTTCCACATTGCCATCTTCAGTTGCTTGACTCCCTTGCATAAACTGGCTTGAAATGAAGCTGCCTTAAGAATTCTCTTTCCAGATTTCAACCACTTCCTCCACTTCAGCCACAGTGATGACATAATGTTCCATGGCCATGGAGAACAACAACTAGTGGCCAGAAAGGAGGGATTGCTTTTGCCATAGGACACAGTAGCCAACTGGCATGGGGGTATAGTGGCCTATAATGAAATGAAGCACACCAATGAACCAGACAGCACCACTTGTGCTGGCACAAGTTTTCTGTTGATACCTAGTAAGAAAAGACAGGCAGAGGTAGGCTTGGAATAGGTAGAGGACAATGTTGTGCTTTCCTGCCCTGGTTGTGCAGCCTGTACTTGTGCTGGGCAAAACCTGGCTGTGAAGATCTGCCCTAAGTTGCAAGAGTGCAGAACCTGCCAATTTTCTACGTGTTTATTTGTCTTTTCAGTGTAGTTCAATAGAACATTCAACAAAACATCAGAATGCTTCAGTGTATTACTATGTATATCACACAATATACTGTAGGTTGGTATATAGTTAATCTTAGGGTGTAAATGAAATTATGGATGCCTGTGTCCTCCAGACCCTCAAAGAGAGCTTCAGATATTGGCAACTGATTGCAAGAGATTACTTACACCTTTTTTCCCCTTCTTTCATTCTGATAATCAGATAAAAAGGAACTATGAAAGAAGGAAGTTTTCTGAATATTGTGTATCCTAGAGATGGAAAAACCATCTTTACCAAATTAGTTCTTGTCTGCACAACAATTAAAGATGCAAAATTCTGTCCTCTCTTCTATCATGCTGCTCTAAACTCTCAAAGAAATCTTATTCCATTTGGAAAGAATAGTACCATTACTGAAGAACAACATTTCAACACTGGAGATGTAGACTAATCTTCCTAGACCTAATGCTCTCCCGATACATTGACTGCAAGTATCAGCACTCCTGTCCAGTGCCTAAGGGCAACTACAGAAAAACAAATTGGGTAAGTCTGGTGTAAAGAATTCAGAAAAAACATATTTCCAGTTATCAACAGGTCTTTTTCTTGAACATAGGGTAAAAAGAGAGAATTGACCGAGGAACTTCTAGCTAAGGATGACCTGTTGCCATTTGTAACACATTCCTACCCACTCCATTCTTTTCATCATAAAAATACACTTCAGTTAATAATTTAACAGTCAAGGAAATTTTGTTTAGCTTCTAAATAGCCTCTGAATAATTGAGAAGGCATTCTGATACTGGATAGCTTTTTCATTGCAGTAACATCCACCTTGTGTAAAATGGTGACGAGAGATTGAAATGAGTGAACTGCCTCCTGAAGGTTCTCACTTTACAATCTATGGATAGGTTCTCCAAATCAGAAGCCGACCAAAAAGATCATGGCTGGAAAGACAAGCAACTTAGGGGCTGTTTAGAAACAAATTAAGAACACTAGAATTTAAAAAGCTTGAAAAATGGAGAAACAAGAGGATATTAGAATAGTTGTCAGTTATCCTAAGATTCAAACATGCGAGAAACAGAGCACGGTAGTTAAGATTAGGGATAGAGCCCGAATTATACAATATTTCAGAATATACTTTTTATTTATGACATCTGTTTTCTTACTTTGGGTCTTCTGTCTGTGAGGTCTTTGTACTTGTACAAACAGGTCTGGGCATGCATATACAGTATCAGGGAAAGGATAGAAGAGAATTTCATTTAGTTCACTTGTGAATGCAGTTACCTAACTTTTGTATTTTTGACCAACACACAAACTGAAATTTGGTTATTACTCACAACGTACATTTCTCCAAATTTTGCAATGCAGATCTCTCTCTCTCTCTCTCATTCTCTCTCTCTCTCCCTCTCTCTCCATACATACATACTGTATGTGTGTGTGTGTGTGTGTGTGTATAGTACCAAATATTTTCATTTATTGATTTAAAAGTTTGCATGGCAGAATGAGTGTGTTTCATCTTCAAACAATGCATTTCCATCATTTCCCACATCTTCATATGAGGTACCCCTGGGGATTAATGTAGCTCTCACAACTTTTATGTTAGGAGCCCCATTTTTGCTGCAAGGCCTTTTGAGTTCTGCTAATCTTCCAAGTTCAGTGCATCGAAAGAGGTGACATCCATAGCAAGTCAAACTTCTCCTTTTTACCACCACCACCACCATCACCACATATGGTCCAAGAGGAGAGAAAAAACACAGCAGCCTCTGATCCAGAATAGATTATGAAAACACTCTTCAGCAATCTACGTGGGTGGCTACACAATGGATGTCATTGCAATTTTAGGCCCTGTTAGCTGAATAGTGTCAAAGATTCAGAAAGATGACTGTGAGGACCATGTTGCATTTCAACTTAATCATCTACTTTCCAGTTACACAAATGGAAAACTCTGACACCTTTCCAGGATGATGCCATTCTGCTCACACTTTTTTTTTTTTTTTTTGGTAATGATAAAAGGCTAGTGTTTTTATTTTCACAGCAAAATACACTCTAGGGCAGCAGTTTACATGAAAGGCAACTGGTGAGTTAGCTATGAAGGACTATACAATGTAGATTTCGGTATATGTAACTTTTTTTCTTGTTGGTGAACATTTTCACTCAGGCCCCTTCAACTGTGTCCAACTTGTTCACTCCATAACACAACTCTGAAAATGTTTACTAAGAAATTTTATTTATTTATTTATTTATTTATTTATTTATTTATTTATTTGGTTTAGTGGGGCTCCTAGGTTAGATTGAGATAGCAGCCTTCATAAACTTTGGCATATTTCTACCTTATCTGTCCAAACTACTACAGTTCATG